GACGTACAGCTCTGTGAGTTGCCACTACTGGTGGCCCAAGCTGTACAAATGGACGAGCACATATGCACGCACTTGTGAGACGTGTCAAAGGGTGAAACCCTTCTCCGAACGCGGCGGCGCCGCTGTACAGTTTACCTGTGTTGGCAGTTCATGACTTTGAACTTTGTGTTTGGCCTGCCGAAGGACTCGGCGGGCAACACGGGTTGGTGGTCTTCGTCAACCGTTTGAGCAAGATGGCTCATCTTGCGGCAGTGTCAGTGACCATCGATGGTGTGGGTACAGCGACTCTTTTTGTGGATTGTGTCTTCTGACAATTGGACATCCTGAGTCAATTGTCTCTGACAGAGATCCACGATTCATTGGAAAATTTTGATCTACAATCTTCAAGGTGCTGGGCACCAAGTTGACTATGTCAACAGCGGACCATCCGCAGACCGATGGTCAAACTCAGCGCGTAAATCGCGCCTTCGAAGACGCCGAAGCGCTGGAGCGCCATACTACCACTTGTGTAGTTCGCTCTGAACAATGCAGTGCATGCGCCTACCAGCTACACGCAGTTCTACGCGAATGAGCTTGTTAATCCTCGCGTCCCGCTGACGCCACCATCCCATGGCTCAGAGCTTGGTGAGCGAGGAATAGCCGAGTGGCTAGCTGATATCAGCCCCCTCACTGTGCGTAAAGAAGTCGATGACTTCCTGTTTACCAGACTGAGTACGTTCGCGATGCGATGGCTGAAAGCCAAAACATGCAGAAATGATATGCAGACGGAAGAGGCAGAAGAAATGTTGAAAGCTAGTGACCTTACTACACATGCAGTCTCTGCTGTCTTTCAGACAAAGCTCCGTCCACGTTTTTTACATTTTAAGGTCGTGGCCAAGCGAGAGCTTGCGTATACGCTAAACCTTCCGAGAAGGATGCGCATCCACCCGGTGTTTTACGTGGGCTCGCTGAAGCCGTACGGGATCCGGCGCAAGAGAACGCGGAAGCGTTGGAGCCGGGGCGGCGTCCCCCAAAGGCGCTCTGCCACCCAGAAGATGAACCAGCAGCCTCTAACTGCTGCTACTGTGCCTCGTCGAGGCGATTAGTAGTAATACCACTTCGCCCTGAAGTCGAGAGGTCGATAAACGGACACGGTGTCCGCAAGGTTCGAGCAAGGCTCACGTCGCGCCGTTGGCGCGCCTCGCCCTCCTCTTATTCCTATCCTGAGAAAGGAGTATCCAACTCGTAGTCGACTACGTCCGAGTCCTCGACGAGGAAATCCGTCGCCAGTAGCGGGCGCGGTGTGCGGCGCCCGTTTGCCGAGGACTTGGGATCTGCTTCTCTTGAGGTCGCGGACGTACTGTTTGGAGTTGCACCACGTGCAGGAGACGAAGAAGGGCTCTGCCCGCGAAGGCTCTCGGAACTAGCGAGGCTGGGTGTTTTTCGTGTCATAGGCACATGGCTCATTGAGCAGAGACTGCGTGAAGAAGTTCCTGGGGGCGAAACGGGGTCTTAGACACGCGAGCCTCGTACGAGGCGACAGTCAAATATAGATTGTGCGCAATTTTGATAGGGGGAGTGTAATGGGTAACACATACCTTGGTATGAAAGGGTAGGTGACACAAGATGGTGTGACCGTATAGAGTTGTGGATTACACAAAACGGTGTAATCACACGATGTTGTGGCTACACCGTAACAAGAGGCCAGGACTGCCAGTAGTTATCCATATTAATTAGGTAATATTATTAAAAAAAGTATAAGCTACAGATCAAGATATAGGCGGCTCTGCCGCAAACAAAACAAATAAGTACAGTTTCAATTCTAAACGGAAGAGTGCATGTACCTTGGGTTAAGGTTTAGGGTACTCTTGGAGATATTCGCTACACTCATATTGGTTCCAGTAAAGAATGTAAGGTCGGTGACCTTAGCAAGCTTCCTCTAAGCAAAGAGCTACGGCAGCCCCGCCGCACTTTTAGTTAACGTAAATGCACTCCTCGTTCTAGTGCAAGCTTTGGTATCTATAAAAATGAAGCATGGTTAGTCGCACCTTGTTCAGTGCCGTTAACTTAGTGAATGGAAATTACCAGCTTTCCATAAATAACAGTGACTTTGCTCTCACTGCGGTGTGTACGCCGGACATGAATTTCCGAGGGGGGTCCTAGGAGCAGAACAAATAATGGCACGTAGGCCACTAGTACCACACAATTACTTTCTAGGGTTACATCATTAAAACAGTGTGACATATATCAATTATCGCTTTGGCCAATATTTTGTTATATACAGATAATGCTTCGATTTGAATAGGCGAAAGTACTGGGTTTGTGAGTATCTGGCTTCACGATGGCCTTTGGGCCTATCATCTGTGCACTGTTAGCGCGGACTCTAACCTCCTATGTTTCTTATGAGTATTGCGCGTAAAAACCCCGTTGCTCGTAAATTCCTCATTCAATTAAAAATGCAATGTTGGGCGTGCAGGCATGTTTTTTTTCATTTATTCTGCATCCAAACCATCTATAACATTAAAAGTGCTATGTTTTGAGAATGCCGCTCGGTGAAATTGATAACTATATACAGCTTATCATCTACAACAGTAAAATCCTGCTTAATGTATCGCGTGATGATGATAGCCAACTTGTCCTACGGACCTCTTCTTATTAAAAGCCATCACTTTAATATTGTACCTACTAAACTTTACATCAGCACTGAATCATGATACTATGAATCGGTGGTAGACACAATACTTTTAGTACCACTCTGACCCGAAAATGAATAGTGTAAAGGAGAACTTACTCTGTAACAGTATGTTTTATATACAGTTTCGCATTTGTCATTCATCCGTACGCATGTTACCTGCGATTGCAATCCTCACAATAGGCAATCGAGGCGTCCTGAGACATTTGAGTAGGCAAAAATGAAGGTTTAATCCTTCTGGTTTTAAAATACAGTATCTCATCGCTAAGAGTTATGAGCACAAAACACTTTTTGCGGTCTGTAAATGTGCTCTTGATCACTCTGCTGATTGCACTGAAATGCTATGACACCATTTAATGTGCATGTGCACATCCCAATGATTCCCTCGGACTAATATTGAGGCTCAAAGTGCAATGATGATGTGATATGATGGAGTATCGTACCTGATTAGTACTTGGCACAAATGATACTCCGTAAAGGAGAAGTCCACGGGTACGGTGACTGCTAGCATCGCAACTCTTGATGTGAAATTTACTGTTATAGGAGGTATATATATAATCATCTTGGCTGGTTTGATTTTAAGTCATTTTTCAGTTTGACCAAGTGTAAGTACTTAGTATTCCAAAGGCCATCGATTTGGCAATTGGGGGACGATCGGTGAGCCCATTTGATGTAGAAAACTCTTCCCTTTTAGCACAAGATGCGAAGATGGCCATAAGGTTGGCCCTGCTACAGATGCATCATCAGCGCGTTGAGCGCGAGAATAGACACTTAGGCGCAGTGCCTCCGTACTCAGCCACATGATGGTTGCGAGTATTCGCACCATCAAATTCGTCATAGCGCTGGCCACCCGTCAAGTACAAGCAGAATCGGTAGATTATTTTCAGGAGTTGAAAACTTTCGTAGCTGAGATGGCGGCCGATCCTCTTCCACACCCATCCAATAACTTTTAAGGAGGCAGTGAGTGTCGCATTGAGGCGGAACACAACGTCTAATCTGCAAGGGTCGGTTGGGAGATTTAGGGTGATAAGTTTATGAGCACATGAAAGGTTATGTGTCTTAGGTCAAAGCCTAGGTTGAGAAGGAAAATAGAGTGGTCTTTTAGCGGCTCAGCAGTGCTGTGGTGCGAGCAGGTGGCTCAAATGAATTAGTACCAAGTATTTACCCCCTGTGTATGTCTCGGTTTCAAATATACAGGCTTGAGCTTCCACCCAGATCCATTGCGGGAACAATTTCAAGGAGGCACAACGCGACCAACTTGGAAGATTTGAGTTTAATTGTCATTTGGGCGGTCAGAACCAATGAAATATTACTTAATAGAACGACTCTCTTACCAGCCGAGATAAAGCTCTCAATCCGTGTAATTCATTGTTGATAAAATCAACGTCATAGGACATTGTGAAGCCGTGAATAGACCTACTAACTAGCCAGACAATTAAGACTACTTTTCAAAAGGGACATTTAGCGTAATTAGAGTATTAGTCTAAAAACCTTTCAAGCTCGATATGTCCTCTTGATGTAGCAGAGCTGACTAGACACCTAAAGGCACCTATTTCTGCTCCTGGTTAGAGCGTACTAACCCAGCCTCTTTGCGTTTGCTAGCGTCAAAATTTTTTGAGTCAAAACTTTCATTGTGAAAATTCTATTGCGGTACAATTCCCGTTGCACCGAATCTTAAGCGGTTTAGTACTGACGCAATTATATAATTTCCAATCAGAGCGGTCACAGTGACTTTCTGAGACCTGACCTGACACCTCCAGACTCATCTGGCGATATATGACCCAGCCAGTTCCCAAGGAGGAGGCGCTAAGTATGTTCGGCCTCTCCTCTGCACGAGCTCGCTGTGATATTTGCAGAAACCTCGGTGTAAGCGCGTCGTTTGATTTGCTGCTTTTATGGGAAATTGATAGTTCTGAGTTTATAGTAGAGGCGGAAATGTTTCCCCCGATATGACCCGAATATATGGCACTCGCCTTGTCGTGTAAATAGAACAATGGTTGATAAACGATGAGCACCACCGCATGAAATACCGTTCGACATGCTTGACGAAGGCATTTTTGTGCTCGATCTACTGTTATATTCACTAAATTACATTAAGTTACGTTGTCTTCGTCATGACTGTAACATGAACTTTAACATTGTCTATGTTTACCTACAAAAAGCGAAAAACAGTGACGACGGGTGCTTTACAGCTATAATATTCTGAATGACAAAATGTCAGCCTAAAAAGTTGACACACGAGGCGAAGGGAGATTAAATGAGAATACGTTGCAGAGGACGACTATAGTTTTTATCTTGCAAAAAACAATAAAGATAATCAAATGTGACAGGTTCATTTAGCCCCCTTAAACACGAATAAAAAGCGAATGGCAACTGCTGTCTCCACCGACGCAGCGATGGCTGCAAGCTTTTCGGAGCTCAACACTGCCATAAAGGGTGAACATTACTCTCGTGCTGTGGATATCTGCAACAAAAGCAAGTCAACGCAGTCAATCACAGGGAAAACGCTATCTGACTTTGTTGTGATTGACATCTCACAGTTCGATCCAAATTCCCTGATGATATGGATGCTGTCAAGGTCAAGTGCTTAGCGCTCATTCGCATGGAAAAAGTGAGTGTAATTTTATCCGAAACTGTATGAGAAGGCGTTGGTTCACGTTTGCTGCTACTGTTCTCTCTTTAGTTCGACAAAGCCCTGGAACTTGCTGTCAAGTATGAATACCTCGATACGGAAAAAGCCTATTGTCTCTATCGCCTAAAACAGGATGCTGAAGCGCTGAAAACTATAGAGGGAAGAGACATTCAGTCGCTGAGCACTGAAATGTTGCATTTGGCGGCTCAATTGGTACGAATCTACAAATCGAAGGCAAAAGATTTACTAAATCTAGAGCGCTTAAATCATGATAAATGTAGTATTTTCGTAATGAGATGTACGATCAGAGCATTCGAATTTACGAGCTGCTGCTCTCACAAGCCAAGGAAGTGAGTTAAAGCTTTAACTTATTCACTGTAGACACGTTCACGATATCCATCTATATCACTATGTAGAACGACAATCTTCTCGAACTTCGGACAAATTTGCTGGCGGCTTACGCAAGCGCAAGTCGAAGCAAGGAACTAAAAAGTCGTCAGATTCCGGTACGTTAATCTTTGGAAATCATGATATCATTGTTTGATCACATTGTCTACTTGACACAGGTTGACGAAGGCTTTGAAGTGGCGTACAACAAGTCATTTGTGTTCATTCAATTGCAAGATTGGGATAAAGCAGAGGAATTATTGCTGACTGCAGAACGTGTGATTTTTTATTAATGACCCAATGTTGTAATTGGAACTGGTCGTACTTTATTTATCATACGTAATTAATGATAGGATTTGGCCGTGACGCTCTTGAGGCCGACGGTATTTCGGGATCCGAGGCTGAGGAGGAAATGGCTATCATCAAAACGCAATTAGCATATGTCAAGCAGATGCGCGGTAATTTGGACGAAGCACTTTCAGACTACCGCGATATCCTAAAGTCAAAGTTGGTTCTTTAAATGTTAATGTATATACTCAGTTTGCTGACGATCTAGCTGTGGCATGCTTTTCCAGGTTACGCAACCGTGCGGTGGGTCTCGTGGCATCGAACAACATAGTGACTATTCGCAAAGACCGTGATGTGCTGGACTCATTAAAGCGGTTAAAGAGCATTGATACGTATATGCTGACGGAGAAACTGAATCCAGCACAACGAGAGGCCATTCTTACAAATCGAGCGCTGTTACTTTGCCTTTCGAATAAGGTGCGCCCTAATTTGTAATGTTAGTTTGCGTACGTAAAACGCTGTAACTTTCTTTCGATGCACTAGACGGAAGAATGTCGTGAAAGCTTAGAGAAATTAAAAAAGCAATTTCCGATGTCAAAATCAATTGCTGATATCGTGGTCTTGCTAGCAATCAATGACCAGTCGCCTACAGTTGCGATTGAGCAGCTTCAGGTCGGAGCAACGAATTTTAATTTGCACATCACAAATCTTTGTAATGATTCAGATCTCTTAGAATGACGCCAGCGTCGGCGGTCGTCTTGGCCTCGCGCACGTATACATGGTCGAAGGTCATGTACTGAAGGCTGCCGAGTGTATTCGCTCGATCGACCAACTGGCGCACACTCCCGGCACGGTTGCCACCCTTGTCGCTATGTACGAGCAAGTGGGCGATTCAGCCTCGGCGCAGGCCGTGCTGGAGAGCGCACTAGCTTATCACAAAACCCTCGACTACAAGTCGGAGTACGCAATGAAAATTCGTGAGGGCGATTGCTGGTACAAGATTCAAAAGAAGCAGTATCGCGAAGCCACCGACGCGTACATGGAACTGCTTGAAGGTGTGACTGCTGGTGCAATGGATCGTGACCTTCGCCTTCGCTCTATAGCCTCGCTTGTTGTCGCTCTGTAAGCTGCTTAAACAGATTGTTCTATCACTTCAGTCTACAACATGGTGTATACTTTGGACACAGGTCGTATTATGATGCCGAGGCTGCAGAAGCAAGATGTGCAATGCTTCCAGCTGTCAAGGAGAGCAGCATGGATGCGAGTGAGTTGGAATCGCGGGCTCCGCGCTCAATTCGTTTGGCTACCAAATTTACAGATACTGGCGACAAAAGAAATGAGTACGTATCAAATATTATATTAAATAATTTTGCCTTAGCTAAACTTCAATTTAAAAGACGCAAGGTTGCCGCGAAGAGCCCGGAAGCTATCGCTCGCAAGCGTGCAAAGCGTAGGGAAGCGCATCTAGCTAATTTACGAGCTCGTCCGGATTACAACGCGTTTATTGGACTTGTGAATCCGGACCCTGAGCGCTGGATTCCGCGCAAGCAGCGCTCGCACGGCAAGCGTGGCCGTCGTGGTCGCAACCGCTTTGTCGGTGCTCAGGGAGCCGGCATGGGCACAGAGAAAGATGCTATCAAGCTTGATGCTGCCGCTCGTGCTGCTCGCAAAGCCGAGTCGGACAAGCCCACAGCCGTCCTAGTGACTAGCAGCTCTGGTATTCGCAAGTCCAAGAAGAAAAAACGCAGATAGATGTGGTTGCTGGGCTGTAACCATCCCGTTTTGTCAATAAAAAATCTCTACAGCATGGGGTTCTGTACGTCTCTTTGTTATTCGCTACCTTTATTACTTAACCAACACCACTATATGCTGCTACCTTTCTTCAAGTGCTGACTCAAATACTTCTTGATCCTGGATGAGTTGATTGGCAAAATCGCTATTCACCCTTTAGACCGTTGTGATGCTAGGCGCCTTCTCCCGCAGATAGTAAAGTTTAGCGCGGCGCACACGTTTTTTGCCTTTATGGATGAACGATTTCTGCAATAGCTTGACACTTTGCAAAAGCGGTGAGCACAGAAAGATCTTCTGCTCGAAGCCGTAGCCCCCAATGTGCTACACTCACGAAAACAGTTGACAAAGAATCAGTTTTACGGTGACAGCTTTCATACAGTCAAAGAGGAGTAGATAACACACGTTACGAATGACGAAAGAACTACCCGTGCCGCGATTTCGTCGCGCCAACACGACGCCCTTCACACGTTGTACGCGGCTGCTTGTACGACTCAATAGGTAATGCACCTCAACTGAGTCGCCTGGATTAAAATCTACAATGTTTTTTCCTTCCGAGGCCTTGGCTACGGCTTCCGCCTCCAGCTGTTGCAGCAGCGATGCCGCGCGTTTAGTAGGAATCTTAAGCTTGGTCCGCTTGGGATTATCGGTTGCGGGCATCTCGGAATTTGGCGCTTTTGTAGAAAAAAACGAAGCCGACGCGGTTAGAAACGATGAATGGCGTGGTCCCGTTGCGCCCACGACACGCATGAAATTCTTAACCACTGTTGCGAGCATCGTTTCTGCGTTTTGTTTAAAGGTGACCAGCACATGACTTGCGTGGTACACATGAGGTGTTCAAGATGTAATTTTGGAAAGTCATGTGGCAATGTATCAATCGCGCACCCTGGCACAAGTAACAAAGTCTGAGTCGTCCTGCACAGCCTCATGAACGCTACCCACAAGATATATGCAAGAACTGAAAATTGCGCCATGAAGCACTTAGCAACATAAAATAAATTCCAACTGGCTAAAAGGATGTGTGTCAAGCTCGCTTTTTTAGGTCGTTATATCGATGCCAACAAGTAATATACGTTGCTTTTGGTATTAAATCTCGTTGTTAGAATTTCTTCCGCTTTTAGTCCCGTCACAGGTACACGTCAAAAGATCGTGCTCTTGCGGATTCCTTTTCTATTTAGATCCACAAATGGCGACAAACTTGGGAACTTGGCCCAAATTGATCAAGTTGTCGTGGTCGAAGTGCAGCAGCACCTCCTGAAGTAATGCAGCAAGCCCCCACCCACACGACTTGGTTGTATCATCTGGGCTGTATAAGTGGCCGTTCTCTCAAGCAACACATGCTAATTCGAACATTTTGATCGCTATGCAGATAGTTCTCATTGCCAGCCTTTCAACCGGCCTTATCTATAATCAGATGCACACGTATGGTGAACGTGTACATGTGATCATAACCAACGTCTAATTCAATTTCGTGGATGTATGTGCGGATGTGTGCAAAATAGAATAATGACCGCAGTTGTCTGGCGCACAAGAAGCGTGCAGAGCTTTTAACTGAATGGTCGTTGGATTGAGACCATCAAGTGCTATCAAAACTTGCTGCATTTGACATTAAGATTTTTCGCATTTTTGAAGCTGCCGTAAACATCTGTCTTTGGTACAGATACACGTCAGAAGAACGTGCTATGTCAATTTCATATTCATTTGATTTCACCGAAAGTGGCCAACTCGGCTAAGGGGTCCAAAACGAGTAAACTGCATCGGGCATATATTCAAGCATAACTATTGATACGCAGAGCTAGCGTTTCAACATATCATATCTGAAGCTTGCTAGACTTAAACGTACATATAGCGGTTGTGCGCATGCGCTTAAAGCTATTCACGAGTAGCATTAATTTTACTTTTTCGTGCGTGATTGGAAGCCGACCGCAGCGCATGTAAGTAGCACTTGTTGCCAGAACTTATTTTGTGTTCTTTCGAGCGTAAGTCACATTGAAAGTGTTTTTTCTTTCTAACCCGAATGGCGCTATAAGCCACTGAAAAATTCATGGCTTCCACGGCAGACCAAAATGAGCTTAAATCGGTGCGGTAGCCACGGTGTCTTCCGACAAGAACGACTTCAGTGACTCTGGAGCCCCGAGGCTATGCTACACAGGTATGCTCACTAGATGCCACACATAAATGGCATCAAGATATTTTCCAAGAATAACACATTCTCGATGCCAAGGATCACTGCTGCACGAGTCAGCCACTTCGAGCCCATTTCATACGGTGGAGCATCTCACTAGAGCCAAGGAAGACGTCTAAATTGTTACCAACGAGCTAGACCAGTTTCAACAAGCCGTCTATAAGAGCAAAATTAATGCAGCATTTGACGCCGTCGCTCCGAGTTTCATCATTTTGACCTTATATGGTAGTCGCCCGTCACACTGCGGCCATCCTCGACCCGAGAGTTTCTCGAAAGGCCGTACTAACGCCTACAGTCACCACTACTCAGGTACAGCAGCGGCTGGGTAATTCCTACGGGCCATGACTCTGTTCCTTACTCTGTATCTCCTATAACCTAGGAATTTTAGATTGACATATACATGAAATGTGGATCATTATCAGCAGCATACGACTGCCAAGCGCTTAAACGCTTCCTCCGGTGTGGGTTCATTAATCTCAAGGGTTTCACTTACGCCACGAGAGCTAATCTCAATCGCTTTCGATCGCCAATTACTTCGTGGATCATGCTTTTCAAGCCACAATATACCTAAAATCAGGTCAAACCTCTTACATTCTCGAGGACAGTGAACACCTCCTTCAAGTTGAAATCTTTCAACTTCAGTTGTAAATTAACCGTAATATTCTTTGCGGTGACCATCGCACCAGTGGCCAACTTCACTGAGATAAAGCCATTGCTTCTATTAAGTGCATTCAAAAGCGCTGAAAGATGAAGTTACGCGACGTACCAGACTCTAAACAGACAACCATAGCCCATCACACTCGCTATGATCACGGTGAGACCACTTCGACTCGTGTCGTTAACGAACGACAACGACATTTCAAGGGCCGAACTCTCGTGATTAATATTATCACAACACTCACAAGAGCTTTTCATTGATCCAGTAGACCACCCAGCATTTAATGGGTTCCGGTGTTCTCCGAACACCTCGTAATACTGCCCCACCTGTCTCGAAACCACAACGACGAGAACCGTATTGGAAGGTTCGAATATCACGTGGATAATCACGGCGGATGTGACCAAATTGTTGACATCCATAACAGCGATATTGCTTCCTACATACAGTCACCACGCTGAGATATATTGGTTCTGGAGTTTCAATAGTAGTAGTCACTGCTTCCATCGGATTGACAAATGGACCACGCTTGACATTGGCAATAGTTCTCACGCAATGCAATCATATTTGCATCTTCCAGAGTCGTCGGGCTCCGGAGAAAGACTTCAGTCTTGGGAGGACCATAAGTGGGTCCCTACATAAACACAGTGACCATCGCAGCATCTGGCAGTGGTTCGCTTGCCATACTGACACGAAGCTCACGGAGATTCTGTACGTAGTCATACAATGTGCTCTTGTCTTGACGACACAATAACTTCGACCGTTGTCGAAATCCCAGCGTCAATTATATGGCTCTTTTCAACTCTTGCGATGTGGCAAAGTAGCCGGGGCGGTTGACTTCCATTACATCGCCCAATCTTCGATGGCTCAAATTCGAGACGACCGCAG